AACAAAATATTTTGTCTTTTTAATACATTGTTGTACCTGTAATTTAGACCACAACAAATCTAATCACAATTGCAACAAGTGATTGTGTTATAATGTTGATATCAGTGTGTTTTTCATCCATACAACAATCAGGAAAGGTGAGTGAGTGTGTTGATGAGTCAGGTATAATTATTAATGTATGTTGGCTATAGCATGTGCAGTAATCTTTCAGCAAACACAAGTGGTAAAAATAGGTCATGGATGGAAATTGGACACAGACAAAGTGAGTCAGTGCTCAGTGTTATGAACAGGTGGACAGCCAACAGGGTGTAGGCGAAGCAAGATGATAAGCTGTTCATGGGAAAACATGACAAACCTGTAAAGGAAATGACTGATGAAAAAGTGGTGCTCTTACCAGTTTTCCTGCATTGCAAAAACATGCTCCAATAGAGCTGAAGACTATTTACAGTTAGCAATATGAAAGTGAATCACTATGTTCTTTCTCATATTGATGGATTACTATTTGTCCATAAAAGCAAAACACTTTTCAAAAAGGAAAAACTCATTTAAAAAAAATAAATAAAAAAATACAAACAAACTAAAAAAAAAACAACAACAATGATGAAAGTGTGTACCACAAAAAAAAAAAAAAAAATCCATCTTCCAAATCACATGCTTTTACTGTCAGAAGACACACATTAAAAAGTTCCAAGACAACCATCAACTATTACCGAATCTTGACCTTAAAATTATATAAATTGCACAACCCTTTTTAATGGTACATTATTTTACTCTGCCACCTGTTTGTCTCCATGGTGATTGTGTTGCCCGGGAATGTCCCACTGTATGGCATTACATTTGACAATAAACACTGAGCAGGTGGTGCCAAAATCGCCTGATCAATAGCTTTAATGGCATGTTGAGGAAATTCCAGGTAAAGCAGTAACATCTCCATGGAGACACGTAGAAGATGGAGCCCATAGTGCAAATTTTACACATATGAAGGCTTGAATCCTTTTAGAGTTGTCCCCACCTCCACAGTCATCTGACATGTGACACCTTTCTGCTCCCTCCCTGCCTCCTCCTCTCGAAGCAGGTGTCAGAAAAGGTTTTTGCACCCAGCTCCCACAAGGTACATGAAGGCTGCTTAAATGTCAGAAAGAACAGAGCTCACAACTGTAAGAAGTCTATAACATTCACAGCATAGACAAATATGACACCCGATTTTTAAACACTACCAATGATCTCTTAAATAAGAATGGTACTTGCAAACATCCCAAATCTGCAGAGTAGGATTTGTGAAGAGGGTTTTGGGGTGTGACGCTCTCTTGGGGTAGCATTAATTGGTTCCAAAATTAGAATTAGAGTGTTCAGTAAGGCAGCAGTTACATCATTTTCTTTTTCATAAAATGTTATACTTGTATGGGAAGTAAATAAACAATATCTACCTATCATTGCAAACAAACCTTTATTTAAGAGTTTTAGGGTGATGAAAAATTGGGTCTGTTGCTGTAGCAGCTTTACTCAAATCAAAATGTTATATTTTTTGAATGGGGAAAAATCACAGAAAACAAAAAAAAGTGAGTGTGACTGTCTGAATCCTTTAAATACACAAATATACAGTATAATATTGTTGGCTAAACTACATCATACTTTAAACATTGTAATACACCTATCTACTGCCACAGAATGCACACAAATCTTGCAGTGTTTGCAGACACATTTGTAGTGGTGTCCTACTTTCTTATCAGTTGCATATTATTAGAGATCAGATCATGTGCAGCTGTCACCATTATACTGTAGACTAGAGCTGACTATAGCAGAGCAAGGCAATTCAGTGGAAGTATTTGGTTCAGTTGTTGGCATGTATATTTTATCCAAACTGAGTTCTATTTGAGTCTTGGTTAATTAAGCTGCTAGCTTGCGTTATAAGTTCTTATAACTTCAAGTCATGTTAAGCTATTGATTTTATCACCAAAATCAGTAGTTCACTCCACGCCCACATGGAATATTATCAAACTGCAAAATTTAAATGACATCAAAATTAAACTCAGTAATTAATGTGTAACTATTTCAGATAATTACTTTACCTTTCACCAACATCTGATGATCTCTGACCTTTCAACTCTATCTTCAAACAAGGATAATGATGACCCTTTTAAACTGTAGACAAATAACTGTGTCCAGTGTTTCATTGACCAAACGGTTCCTTGAAAGATCAGTGTTTTGCATCAATAGAAAAGACAGTGTAGTGGTCTCGATCCAATTTTCTCCCCCATGAAAACATGAAAATTACGTAACAAGTAAGGCTGAGCATCTAATAGGATTAATCGCAACTAACTGATTAATGAAATATCATCAACAAATTTTGTAATACACAGACTACACTTCACATCTTGATACTGTAAATAATTAATGTACTGTAACGCAGCAAGGGAAATAAGCGCTCGCGGACAAATGCATGTAGTGTAAAGTGGTCATCATCTGCACCCCGGCCTCTCTGGTCATCAATTGATTTTATAACATGCCTCTAACCTCAAGACAATAAAAGCTTTGGAATGACGTAACTAATAAAACTTCAAGGTACCAAGACTAGAAATAGCAGTGTTTAATGTGGCTCTGAGAAAAAGAAACCTGAAAAACTGCTCACTTGTGTTGATACCAAACACTGCAGGCTTTTCAGTTATGTAAAACAAAACAATATTAATTTGAGAAAGGAGCAAGAGAGGGCACACTAGGTTTTCCTGAGCTTAAAATGTCCAATTTCTCGTAGACACTCTTACTCTGAAAAACGCTCTAACTCTAATTATTAGATTCACTACACATAATTAATAGCTCCGAGGACACGTCTGCTACAGGAAGGTTAGCTCCAAACTGACAGGAAAGAAAGGGGAAAAAAAATGCTCTTATGATGCTTGAGTATGTCTGTGTGTGTTTTTTACTCTAATTAAATAAATGTATTTTAATCCTGTGGCACATTTTTACATTGTAATATAATGAAATTTAGTGTATTCAGAATACATTAAGACAATACTGCATGCAGACATACCTAGTTCACTAAGGTGCATTATGTGGATAGATGGACTATGATGAAGATTGAGCTGCAAATATAATGTGAAATCAAGCTAAATCTGAAACTGTGCTGGTTGTACCACATACATATGACTGGGATCACATACAGTAATAATATACTTCTATAAATATAGAGTGTTTCCCTTTAATAGAGATGTCCATAGTTAATTGTAAAATATCTTACTATCTTAAGTCTTGTGGTATTGTCATCTATGTAAGTATTTAATCTGTAGATCTTTTTTATTGATAGAGTTAATAAGTGACATTTATGTTCCAAACATTGCATTAAATCAAATTATTCAAATGTGGACTCATTGTGCCACCGTAATCTAAGTGGGACTGTTCTTATATAGCTCAGATTCCAATTTATACATTTCTAGGTTATGTGCATTGGGTGTCCTTAAAGCCCCTTCACTCCAGTCTCTTCTTTGTTTCTCTCTCTCCCTCTCAGACTTTGGCCGAGGTCGTTTAGTTACTCAGGGAACGGATCAATATGAAGTACCAATTTACTGGCAAAGTGCTTACCTTGTATTCTCAGTGCCATTCAATCCAGCCTCGGTCTCGCATCTGTCTAGGCAGCAGAGTCAAGTTTCACATGTCCTCTGGAGCTCTGAGAGATGCTAGGGCACAAATCAGTGACAAAGCAAGTGAATTTAAACAGAAAAGTGAGATAACAAACGCAGAAATTGATAGATAGTGTTTTGTGAGACGCGATTACGCCATATTGGAGACGATAACCAACCATATGGCACTGAATGGACCGATTAAGAACACGTATAAATAGATCTAAATAAGTAGTTGTCAAGTTTTAAACAGACAAGTAAAACCAGACTGGCTTGTGATGCAAGTACAACAAACAACAATAGAAACACGATGGCATTCGAAACTTAAAAGTGCGGATCGTGTTACGCACTAAATCCCGGAGATAGACAACTAAAAAACAAATCAGTGACGAAGTTATAAAGTCCACGTTGCTTCTTCGGGTAAGGGCTAAAACAGTATCGATAACAAGAGAAGTGCTTACCGTGTGGAGAGGAGTACATATCGGGAAAAAATGGCGTAGAAACAATAGATCTTTGTACAAAAGCAGTCCAGGTTTAAATACCCTGAATAATTTAAAAGGTTAATGTTACTACTTTCTCGTACAAAGTTAATTGGACTCCTCGTTTCACTCAAAGCCTGTTGACAACTGACTGCTAAACTCATCTGGAGCCAGTTCCTTAAAGAAAAAACGTTGTACTCTGTTCAGGCCAGAGCAATCAAACCAGAGCTGTTTATCATCCAGTATCGAAAAGCGATCGATGTTTCTATGACTCTACTGCGCATGTCTGGAGCAGATGAGGCAGATGTGGCAATGTAAACAGTGTAAATACGCTTATAACAGTGTCGTTTGGTTAGTGTGGAAAATATGGTAGTTGATCGAGGAATATAGACTGAATAAAGAAGAAAAATAAGTCTAAAACAAAAAGTCTATGTTAAATTTGGTTGTTATATATTCTACGGCCGTAATATCACCTTGCACTTTTCTTGTAGACTGCGTATGATTTTTCTCCAACGCATTAAAACATTAAAATAGGCTTAATGAACCTCTATGTAATGTAGCCTATGAGAGAACAACTCCTCTGTTTAATAAGAACAGTGTTGCCATCTAGTGCAGATCCCGTGTAACTACTCAAAAACTTGTAGGCCTAAGTAAATAGGCCTAATTGAATAGCGACCTGCAATATTTGCAATGAAAGAACAAACACAAGTAGGTTTAAAGGTTATAATCCAACTTGTGTATTACTCTAAATAGGAGGAACATATTAGTTCAAATGAAACTGTATTGTAAGGCCTATATAATATTTTTAAAAGATTTAGTTAGCACCTAATCATCATTATGAAGAATGTAAAAAGAAAAGTGTAATTATCTTAGATAAGACACAGTAGTAGCAATCAGACATTTTAAACTTTACACAGTTTTATTACGTGATTTGTAATCTCTAGTAGTTTCATTATTTCTTTATAATGGTCACATTACAAATCATTCTTTTCTTTTTTTGTTTTTTTTAACAAAGGTTATTTGGACCATTTGTTCAGTACAGTTTTGTTTATTGTTCATCAGTGACCTCTATCACATAACAGTTTTATAGAAAAGGCAAGATCTACAGTATAGGCTAACAAAGTAATACTTGCAACCACTGTCTCCATAATAAACAACTCCACAATGCGTTGTGGTAGGTTGTGTTGCGGGTCTTTGAGTTGCAATAACTTTGTAAAACAGATTACAGCAGCCACCATGTAAAGGAACACTCCCATAAAACTAAACCCAGCCAGAAATCTATCAAAAGGCAGACAACACTGAGCTGCAAAGTCACCCAGAATCACCAATAGTGTTATTAGAGACATAGCCAGGCAGGTGGTATAGGAAGCTACAGACACCCAGAGTTGCCAGCCATGGATTTCACTGGGCATGTCATGAATGGCCTCCACAATCAGGGGAATCATCTGACACCCTCCCCACACTTGGACAGTCTTGAGCAGGCCAGGTTTGCTCCCCATGTACCCCCTTTGGTCATGTGTTTGGCGCTGAAGCATGCATGATTCAAATCCGTACCCCAAAAATGTGAGACAGGAAGTTACGGCAGCTGCTGTGGCGCGAGGTGTTGGTGTTTGGTTATCCATTATAAGCCATGGGTGAATTACAGCAGCACTTAAGGACATCAAGGCTCCCAGAACAGCGACAGTAACTGTAAAATTCTTCCATGATATTGGCAAGAGACTGTGGAATTGAATCGTGGTCAGAATATTGATGAATAGGGTGAGGGAGAAAAAGAAACACCAAATAAACATGCAAAAAGTCTTAAATGTCAGGAGGTGAGATGGGTTCTTGTTTAAATCCACTGAATCCAAAGAGGCAACCAGACTGAACGTGGTACAGGTAGAGAAGATTATCCATGTCCGGATCAAAAAGAATGGGCTAGTGAAATCTCGAGCTTCCAGTACTATTACAGGCATTGTTCTTTTAAAAAAAAAAAAAAAAAAAAAAAAAAAAAAAGTTTAAAATAGTCAGTGGCAAAAATCTTAACTTTCAGACAAATTAGTAAAAAATCCTGATGGCTATTCCTGATGTTGGATTGAAAAACATAGTCCAGGGATCTTCATAATAAATAATAAAAATAGAACAAAAACAGTATGTGTTTTGTTAACTTGTTCAATCTTATCTACAAATAGAAAAATAGAAACCTCAAGATCTCACCTTGTGGAATTTAGTTTGCATTACTACCAAAAACAAGTACCACCTACTTCCTTTCAGAGAGTGATGCTCTGTACTTTCAGTCTCTGCAAAGCAAGCTGCAAAGTACCGCAATAAAAAGCAAATGCAAATACAGTTTTTTTTTCCCAGCATTGTTTCTCATGACATTGAGTTCCTGTTTCTGCTGCCCCACCTGCAGTATAATCTGTTAAACTGAAGCCATGTGTGAGAGCAACATGATTCAACCAGCCATTTTTACATGGGGTATAAATTATGGCCCATAAAAAGAAACTGAATTCTTCAATGGAATAAAATGTGTAGTTTTTCACATGCAACTTCTGTGCTATTCAATATACTGTACATTAACTTTACCAACCCATCTGACCTCCTCATAATTGTGCTGTAAACATTCCTCTGACTACATATTCATATATATGGTGTAATAGATTCTTATTCACAGTTACTAAGCAATGTTTTATTGCGTTCAGTGGATAAATTACTCAATACAACATGTATGAATTATAACAAAAAATCACTGTGAAAAACTGTTAGATATGCTTTTAAGTCATAAATTATAGCTACTTCTGTTTTACGTTGTTTTGTATTTATTTACTTATTTACTTCCATAGCTAGGCTAGATGTTTCTGTGATGAACTGTTGCCACTTTGTGGTCCTCAACTAAACTACAAGGTAGAAAACTGCATTTACACGAGGTACACTGCATATCTAATGAAGGGTCAGTCACCTGCTTGTCTCTATGGAGATGGTATTGCTTGACTCAGAATGTTCTGTGGTATGGCTTTAAACTGACCATATTTAGTCATCATTTGGGATATTTTATTACTTTTTAAACTGTTGTAAGCACAACTTTTGTTTTACTGTTGGACTCTAAGATTTGCTTGGCAAATGTGAAGTGCATTATAAATAAATGTATTTTTTATTATTATAAGTTATATAACCAACTAATAATCACACATAGTTTTTAATTCAAAGTGCAGACATGTTCACTTCCTCACAATAAGTTGTCGGAAATGAGAGAAGTGTGATTTGTTGGCCATGTGTGGTGACAGATGCACATGCAATATGTAAATGAACGCTATGCTTTTGTGGGTCATAGTCGAACCACTGACCTCTCATCTTATAAGTGTATAATTCATTTGCAATAAACATAAATATTGCTTTGGGTACCACAATTATTAAATTATATCAGTGGTTCACAGATTTTACTCACAGAGTACATCTTACGAAATTGTTAAGCCTTCTGCGTACCACCAGATCTAGCCCAGGTTTAAAACAGACCAAAGTAGGAATATACTATCTTGAACTACATAATTGCTAAACTAGTTCTAAAGACCTTTAGTAAAATAGAACTTAAAGTGATTCTAAATACAGCAAATATTTGAATTTTGAAAATGAAGTGGAGTCTATGTACCTGAATGAGCTCATTGTCCACATTTTTACAAACACTAAATTACACAACATTTTGACAACAGATGTGAAATGTACTGCACTGTAACTTAAGAATGCATTTTATTAATTATTTTAAATATTGGGTGTTGGCCACATTTTTTATGACCTGACCTATATAAACTTCTTTTATTCTAAAACATTTTCTTCCTTAAAAATGATTATTAAAATGGGAAAGGTTATTTGGGCTTAAAAACTGTATTAGATCAAATAAGAGACAAAATGGGAAAAGAGAATACTGAAAGCATCTGGAGAATGACCCTTCATACATGTTTTAAATTGAAGGAGGAATTTCACTGGATTTTGAATGACATAAGCCAGTACTTAAATCAGTGAACAAACACTCTACCAACTGAGCTACTGTTGCCCTTGGACAAATGTTTCTTGGTCCTCAGGCTTCCAGGTGACTTGGCCCAAATTACCTTGCATCAATTAAAAATGAACTTTTTACTGCAGTTTTTTTGAAAATCTACCTTGATAAAGCTAATATTGAGTATTTAGTGTGTTGTTTTAAGGATCTTTGAAATATATGCATGTTTAACACATTAGACTGAGCCATGAGCCATCAGTCTTTATTCATTCTATTATTCTCTGTTTTGAGCACCAGTCTACGGCCCTTGATTGGCCCTCTGCTTGGTCTGTGTTTAGATATGTGTCCCTTGATGAAAAAAGTTTGGACACATCTGCCCTAAGCAAACATTACAAATGCAGAGGAGACCAGGATCTCACCCCAGCATACAGTTTGAGAAACACTGTTATAATGAATATGGTCCCTAACTTCCTAATAGATCATTATACAAGACACAGTGTGTACCCACATGTTGGCTGAACATGTTACATACAGGAAGTTAAAGACAACAATATAAAAAAAGTGTGACATTTCACACACTTGAAACTTTCACCTACATGGCAAATCAGTATATTTGGTCAGAGTTTGGTGCAAGAAGCAGAACTCACTGGTAGATGGCCAAGGTAAGTCGACAGCACAGTCCCTGGTGCTTTATAGAAACTTGAATGACTCTGTATTGGTCTTTGTGTCATTGTACACCTTCTTGTTAGTGTTTGGATGCTGTTGAAATGAAATTTATAAAGTTTTATTTTTTTGCAGATGGGGTGCACCTACTGGCTTCTGCTTCTGTTGGGCCTGTTAGCTCCTCTGTGTGAGCCATCCACAGTTCGCTATGGTCCTCCCAGTGAGTGCAGCCAGGCCCCCATGGTCCCTGGGTACAACTTGGGAGGAGAGGGCTTCAACATTGTCACCATGGAGCGTAAAGGCGCCTATGTCATTGACACAGACACCTGGGATTTGGGCAATGGCACTTGCAAACTCTACCCCAACAGCTTCATGGGAGGACAGATGCAGAAGGTCCCTGTGGCTGTGGTGGACTGGAGGGCGCTGTCTGAATGTCATTTGTCCGTCTCCAGTACTTCTTACGACTCGGTCGAAACCCTCGTCAATGATTCAACTTCTTCTGTGAGCAACAACTGGAAACTGGGACTGAATATCTCCATCCCTGTGGATCCATCTGTGGTGGTGTCCGTACGGAGGGGACTGGGCGGGTCCCACTCCAAAGTGGCAAAGTTTGCCATGCAGAAATCCAAACAAGATCGATACAACTTCTACCGACATTCTGTGTACTGCAGTACCTATCGGTAGGTCATACATTTACTAACTCATTTCTCAAATAAAACTACAGTCCCGTGGTTCCAAAAGTATTGGCAAGAGGAATGAAATCTTATACTTTTACTTGTTTTTATTGTACACATTCTATTATATTTATTTATTTTAGGCATATTTTTTAGCATTTCCGGTGTTTCCTCTGTAGGGGCCCTCTGCATCGGGAGTGGAGGTCGACTGTGGCTGCTGGGTCTGTCATGTGGGCTCCTGGTGGAGGGTTGATGCTTGGGCCTCAGGTGCCCGGGCTTCATCTCTCCCCTGGGCCCTGTGGTGGTTCCTGGTGGTGGTGGACGTCTCTCTGCTCCCGGTGGAGATGGCTCCTCTGATGGTGCTTTCTCAACTGGCTCGCCTGTATTCAGCCTCACATTTTACTATGTCTGGTTATGTATTTTAGCATGTTAGTGTGTGTGTTTGAGTTGTTTGATTGTGTGGGGTTGGGGATGTGGGGGTTGGGTTGGTGGGTGGGTGGAAATGTGGGACTGTTTTTAATCACTGTACAGCACTTTGTGTTGCATTTTGTATGAAAAGCGCTTTATAAATAAAGTCTGATTGATTGATTGATTGATGATAACTATAGTGAAGTAACTCACAGCAAAATTATGGCTCACTGTTACCTCACCCATATACACAGTATATATTATATTATATATTATAGTATAATTTCATCTTTGCATTTATTGTTTTCCAGATACAGAATGACACCAGCACCACCAGTGAGCAAACACTTTCAGTCAGAAGTGAACTCCCTTCCAGCATATTCTCCCCAATCTGCAAATCAGTATCGCAGAGTCATTGAAACGTACGGCACACATTATATCACACAGGTGTTTTTAGGAGGAGAGATTAAGGCCATCACTTCTGTCAGAACATGCCAGGCTAGTGTGAACGGTCTGACCGAATCTGAAGTTAGCAACTGTTTATCTGTAGAAGCTTCAGCCAATGTAGAGGGAATAGGAGGCTTCAACGCTATGGCGGAGCATTGTAAAGCTAAAAGCAAAGAATTAGGTCACGATTACAGTTTTAGCAAATCCTTTAGTGAACGTTTTACTGAGACCACAGGTGGGAGAATAGCCAAAGGCGCCACCTTGTTTACTAAATCTGATCCTACTGTATTTGACTCATGGCTCACTAGTTTGGGAACCTCCCCTGATGTGGTCAAGTACGATCTGAAGCCTCTACATACCATTCTGTCTGATAACCATAGGGCAAAAAATGGTATCAAGAAAGAAATTGAGACCTACATCAAGCAAAATGCTCTGTTTAAAAAATGCTCCGAGTCTTGCACAATTGGACACAAGTCAAGTCCGAGAGACCCTTGCACTTGTGTGTGCAATAGTAACCCAAATCTGCGCTCCAACTGCTGCCCCACTGGTTTAGGTAAGGCTACTCTCCGTGTCTACCGCCTCTACGCCAACGATTTGTACGGGGATGTGTGGAGTAAGACAGATGGTTCGGTCGAGGTGATCTTTGATGAACAGGTGAAACATACTGCAATTATTCATGAAAACAACAATCCAAAATGGAGTGAGAAATTTGAGTTTGGTGCAATCACTATCAACATGAAAAACAAGCTGCAGTTTAAAGTATATGACTATGATTCGTATTGGAATAGTGACCTGCTTGGGGAGTGCTCCGTAGATTTGCGTAGAGGTAAAGTGTCTGATACCTGTATGCTTAATCATGGAACCCTCTTCTTCTCCTATGAGGTGACTTGTGCACCCAGCCTTGGAGGAGAGCAGTGTCAGGAGTACATATCCTCCCCTCTCAGCTCCTCTGTGTCAAAGAGCTTCTACACCAGAAATGGGGTGCTTGGGAAAGATTTGGAGTAAAGTCTGCAAGGGTTAGATTGACTGAATGACCTTGACCACCAATGACCCAATATCTTAAATTTCTATTGCTCAAAAGCTTGTTTTTTCTATATGTAGAAATGTTTGGCTTATAGAAAGTGTGTATAGCACATTGAAGTTCACTTTATTTGTTCTACATCCATATCAGAACTATAGGATGTTGGTTGTGCATAAATGATATGTGCTAATGCAAATGCTTTCTGCTGTATTTGTCTTTCTTTCAATGATTTGTTCACTGTTTGATGATTTTGCCTTTTTATCTAATAAAGCATCCACAAAGACGTTTAAGGGAAGTGTGTAGTTCCTGATTCTCACCCCCTTGCTCCATCCCTTTATCAAACCCTGACCACTCTGCAGCTCCATTCCTGAGCTTGGCCCCCACCTCCAAACAGGTCATCTGTGTACGTCAGCCTGACAGTCTCCTGCTGCTTCTGCTTATCCACACCCCATTCCTTTCTCCTTTCCCTCTCCGAGAAGAGAAGAGGGGGATTTGCCTCATGCAGGGGCCTTGTTTAATGTGAAGCGCATGAGGAGGCAGCAAAGAAAAGCCAGAGGTGTTTGGGTTGAGTTGCGGTGGAGAGATGCTGGAGCCCACTAGAGGAGCAGCAGGTTTGTTTGGGGGAAGCCCTCACAGCCAAAAGAGGGATTAGTCTGGAGCAGGTTCCCATGAAACTGAGAGGGCGACTAGAGAGAACTTTTACAGGTCACACAAACTAAAGATGACAAAATGACAAAATTCATAACCGCACAAACAGGTTTTAGAAAGCGGGGACGGGACAACTAAAGGAACTATGAGAAGTGTAGTGAAGATGTAAGCTATTTAATGAGCAAACGGTTTGTTATTTGTCAAGTGATTAATGAACGATAAAACACTATGTAACTTTTCAGCAGGAGGGTCTTTTTCCTGCTCAATCCCATGGAGATGTTGTTTCTTTATCTGGAATGTTCCACAGTATAACAATAAGCATCTAAATCTGAAGCTGTGATGCCACTGGGCCTACAGGTCAGATCTGTGGAGAGGCGACCCCTCTCTGTTTTCAGGATTTTTAGAAACCTGAAAACATTTACTTGAATAATGCAAGATCATTCTCATGTCATACTGGGCATTCCAGGGAAAGCAATAATGTTTCTACAAAGACAAACAAGTAACAAAACGAGTCTTTACACCTATTCTCGTATCATCCCAAAGAGTACAGCAGGTGCAGACACCAAATGCTGTGTCTCATACAGGGATATTTATATTTGATGGAATGACACACAGAAGTCCTATGAAATTTACAGCAGATTCGTAATCAAACCTATAAGCTGCAACCATACTTCAAACATATCTTTATTTATATACAATGTTACTGTCTTTCATTGGGTAGATTGAACCAACTGAAAGATAAAATATACTTTAAAAACATTAAGAAAACTTTGATCAAGTTTAAATTTATTTTGAGTTAACCCCACAAGTTGCTACACACACTTTTGGGCCTTTTATGTGAACAAAAAGTAGAATTGCTGCCATCTGCTGGTGATATGTGGCAAAACGGTACAAAAAGTTGAAACAAGCTGACATGACATTCACTTAACAAAAAACAGATAGAAATAGAAAATAGTCAATGGTAATGAAACATATAAAGTCTTAAAAAAGGGGTTGGTCTGATATAGCCTTTACTATTACTAATATATTGCTTCCAGTTTTGAGCCTAGATTTAATTAACTTGCAATCTCCAGACAATCTCTCAGGATTTGAGCCCTGTGTCCCCTGTCCCAGTGGGTTTATCCAGTGATTTGTCATATTTCTATACAAGAAATGTCTCTGGTGTCCCTATTTTTGATCAATTTAATTCCTGCCAACAGTAAAGAGAGGCATAAATTCTCAAAAAAATGACCAAAACACAAAGAAAATGTGACTATACTGACTCACATGTTAGTCATGTTTTCCTTAAAATACGCACTCATGTCACAATTTATTTTTTATTTTTTTACCAACTACCATTAAACCGGGGATTCCCCAGTTTTTATTTTTATTTTGAAGTTCGTCAGCTTAGATCATTTTCTATCAGGACCAATAATTACAGCCTATTAATATTACTGCCCCCCAGGATGGCATCGCGTTAGAGCAGCTGCCATGGCGACCACCCCTCACACAGCGAGTGCATAGGCCCATTTGCAGAGAGTGTCCACTGAAACCTGGGAAAGTCTTTGATGTAGAACTACCCCAGTGCGGCCTGAACAACTGTGTACTGTCAACGCCTCCCTGTACACGCAAGGGGAGCTCAACTTAGCCTTGTGGCAAACATAGCACAGATTAGCATGCCATCAATGCTGCAAGCAAACATCTCGCGCAGCATTAGCACATGTTAAGTCAAGGGTGTATGCTAGGGCCAGCTGTCAAGTGGAGGGAATTCCTGGTGCTCCGCTCAAGGTCGCTCCCACCATTCAGACCTATGGGGCCTGGTCGCGGCTCCCAGGCTAAGTGTTAACGTGGTATCGCTAACAGTTTAACTTGGACGTCCTGGCATGTTTAAAAGAGGGTCTTAACTGGTGCGTTACATTCACGCAGTGGAGATGCAGAGCGGACCGTTCACCTGTCTCACAACGCAGCAGGAATCATAAAGAGGATGGAAAGATGGCAACCGGGGGGGCGCAGAGAAAATCCCAGTGCACTAAATTATACTGTGGAGGTGTAGGATAACATCTGCTACCATACTCTGTGACAATAAACAAGCGTGAATGTAAGCCTTAAAATGGTGCGACGCTTTACAAACAGATTGGGGGTATTATGCAAAATTTACTTTTTGGAGCTTCTACGATGTTGTTTCCTCGACCAAAAAACAGGATCCGCCACCTATTTTGACCTCCATTCATTATGACATGTATCTATTTACGACATGCCTTTTTTAAGATGTACCGATTTTCCAACACTTTTTAGTATCGCTTTTGAGAGTTACGATAGTCTACCCAAGCGCGTCTCTCGCTGCTCTTCGATGTTGTTAATCTCAACAACTATCAAGTCACACACAAAACCGACACACACACCTATGCACAGTACAGGCAGACCAACAGACATTTCCCTGCATGTCATAGGCTATCACATTAAAATTATTTATGTCGGAAAAGCGGAATGTTTGAAAAACAGTAAAGTGCCGCTACTCCGAAAATGAAAAAAAAAAAAAAAAAAAGTTGAAGTAGTGAGACACTTGAAAAATTGTAATGTTTATGTTTATGCCACTACTCCGACAATTAGACATCAATATCTAAATAGCAGCATGTCAGAATAGCAGCATGTAACCATCAAAAACATGCCTAAAGTGGATTTATATGTCATCCATGCATGTTTGAGTATTTTAGTGATCTCACCCAGGCCCTATTGCGAACTCTGCTTATGATTAGCTGTAAGATTTATCCAATGCTCAGCTCACAACCCTACACCATCCATGCTCCCTCACCATAATTCTCCAAAAATGTACAAAAGCGTGATACAAAGCAATACATTACAGCTTTACAAAACAATGAGTAATGAGCAGTAGTTTCATTAGCAGAACGCATGGTAATTGTAATGTGAGTGACTTTTAACTCAGAGTGTTAAAAGTGGAACTTATTCAACATGTTAATACATTGTTTTGTCTGTTTTTAGCATTTTCAAGACAATAAAAGGTAACATGGTCATCTAAATATGTTATGTGAAATCTCATAGACATAAAATAGCCCCTCTTTAACAATAGTACACCCATGGTAGAAAGGGTTTCAAATGTAGTCTTTTGGATAATGTTTTTAAATCAAGGTGTCTGGGCTGGCAACCGGAGACCATTTTTCAATCTGAAGGTACTGGTCTGAGTAGCTGTAATTATACTGCTATCCAGCCTTGAGGAAGAGTTATACCTCGAAACTTGCCTTAGACTTGTTTACTTGCAAGTTAAATGATGTGTCACATTATGTTTATTATTGCATTACATTATACCTATATTTACGTCTGCTTAAGTTGTAGGCCGAGGAAGCTGATTGCCGCTCCGTTGGGTAAGGAAAAAGTGCCCTCTGCATTTGACCCATCCTTCATTGACCCACCTATGTGATGAATTATTGCCTATTTTTCCTGTTTTAGGTTAAAGGTGCACTGTGCTAACCAGGCTGGAGCCACCTAGTGCCTCTGCTCAGTTTCATTTCTCTACAGCGACTAGGTCAGGAATCTGAATACAATAGATGGTTCTCAAAAACCCCCAAAGTGCAAGTTCGGGCACCAGCCAATCAGCGAAGAGCCATAAATTCTGTGTTAGCAACGATTCCCGAGATCAAGGATTTAAAACCAGAACAAAGAGAATGTTTGGTGAATTTTATCAAGGAGAAAGACGTTATTGCCCTTCTTCCTACGGGATTTGGGAAAAGCTTCAAATACCAGTTAGCCCTGTTAGCGGCACATTACATATGTCATGACCAAATAGCAGCGATTGGTTAAATGAAAAAATACCTCCCTCACCTTAGAGAGAACAAATTCTAATGCTGCGAGGTCAGACGGTTTCTACAAAGTGAAACCGGCTGATGAATCAGGCTAGCACTGTGCAACTTTTCACCTGCTTCTCTCCATGGAGTTATTGACTGGAATGCTCCAACGTGTGTATCACTATGGAGACAGCCGGCAACACCAGAGAGTCAGGTTGCATGTCTGATCTGTGGAGAGGCGAGCTCACTCACAGTCAATTTGTTATTGAGTAAGCACAAGATGGATACATTTAATACTATACCAGAACATTCCAGACAAAACTCTAACACCTCCATGGAAACACTTGGTGGACCCTCCTCATGAAAAGTTACATAGTTCATCTTGAAACCAAAGCTCCAAAATCCAACTAGACACAATGGTAAACATGAAAACTCTTTTTTCCACCCAAACTTTATTAAATAACTTCCAAATATCAGCATTGTCAGAATAAAATATTTAAACAAACACAAATAGCTGAGTAACACACACACACACACACAAATCAAAAATACATATATATATATATATATATAAAAAACAATTACCAGGTCACCTACTCACAATAGACATGTACCAGATTGAAAAGAGAGAGTGAGACAGGAATCAATCAAAGGCAAGAGTGAAAAACATCATTCTGGAACAGAGGGAAAATTAACTGACTCAACAAACTGAAAAAGAAATGGAACCACGTTTTCTTGAAAGTCTTCAATGACCCCCCAAGAGTACATCTTATTTTTTCCATGTTCACAAAATATTGAATTTCTCTAATCCAGGCATGGACTGTGGGTGGAGCAGGAGACTTCCATTTAAGAAGAAT